GTACTAATTTTTTGCTGTGGGGAAACTGGTTTCCTGTTTTTTCTGTCTTCCCATTGTCCTTGGTGTTGTTACTGTCCCTGTACTGTGTGCAATTAAGTATTTTCTAGCTTGTAATAATAACAATGGTAATATTTAGAATGGAAGAGTGAGCTGAGATGGAAAGCAAGAAGTTAAAGAAAAGGGGAAAACAAATATACAGCAAGAGGGAGAAAGCAGAACAAGGTATCAGACAAAGAGTTTCAAAGGTATAAACAGGGAGTGTTAGTGTACTAATCGACAGTAAGCTGAACAGACATTAGAGAGACAGAGAGAGGATTGAAAATCAAAGATAAAAAATAAAAAAATAAGTAAATGAAAGTAATATCTATATATAAAAATGAATTAAAATAAAATGGAAAATAGAAATTAAAAAAAAAAAAAAACCAAAAAACTTCCAAGTTTATATGCAATGCAGTTTCAGTCTTAATAATTTGGGTGTCCGTCTCAATCTCCAGTCCTGGAGATTGGTGCCTCAGATGTTGTTCTGTAGTTGTCTCATCAAAGGGGATGCATAAAGTAGAACAAACACTCACACACACACACACACACACACACACACACACACACACACAAAAAGCCCACCAAGTGTCCCAAGTTCAAATGCAATACAGTTTCAGTAAGTTTTTCGGCTTGCAGGTGTAATTCGGTTGTTCTCTCATCAAAGGTAGGGAGAAAAAGAAAAAAAAGTCTGGAGACAGTTCTGAGAGTGGTATCTGCAACTGTGGCTTGCCTGCCTGCTGCTCTCAGCCTGTAGCTGCGGGCATTATTTATGCAGATCTCTGGGGTGAGCTTAGCACTCACCTGGTCCCACAGGCTTTGTTTGCTCAGAGTTCTCCTGTGCGGGAGCCTCTGCTACAGGCTTTCCCCTTTCCAAGCACTGGGAAAGGTGACACTGTCCCCGCGTTGTCAGGCCTGCGTGTTTATTTACAGATCATGTGGGAGCCCCTCTCCTCTGAAGTTTTCCTCCCACTGCCACTTTCAGCAGCTTTCCTGCTCCTGCTTACTGGGCGGTGCTGCTGCTCCTGCCGCCGCATGTTTGTTTACAGTTCACGTGGAAGTGGGTCTTCCCTCCTCTCACAAGCTTTCCCACTCCTGGTTGCTGGGTGCGCGCCCCGCTCCCGCCAGAGGCTCTCCGGCCCGCCTGGCTTGTTTATTTACAGTCCCGAGAAGGATTCCCTTCCCCCAATCTTCAGCGCTCAGGGCGCGCCACCCTCTTTCCAGCGTGTCTTAACTGTTCTTATTGCTTATTACTCAGTTTCTCTTTTTTTTTTTTTCTCGGGTGGAGGTCAGTCTGTCCAGGGGGCTATGCTGCTCTGGCCCAGGCTTGTCTGTGGGGCTACCGCAGTACCGTGAAGCTCACCTGGTCCGCGTCTTCCCAAGCCGTATGGCGCCGGCCACTGGCGGCCCGGGGCCCTCCTCGTTTCTCCTTTAACGTGAAGTGGAGATTCTCTGCACCGGCTGGAGATGTGGAGGGGTCAAAGTTATGCCTTTTCTCAGTGATTATGCCTGCAAAGTGTGTCTCCAGCGTCTCTCCAAGATTTCACTATAGGAGGCTCGCTTTCTGCTTCCTACCTCTAGCCGCCATCTTGGAATCTCCCAGGTTTGTTTTTTAACAAATTGAGAGATAAAGTTCTCAGAAGTTCTAAGTAGCAGGTAGAAAAAACCTCAACATTTTCTCCCAGAAACTATTGCAAACTGGGGAGCAAAGGCCTTGTGGGCTCTACGTTTCTTTCTTAGCTTAGGTGCTATGGTTACTTTCTTTTTTTTTTCCTTTATTATTCATTTGTGCATACAAGGCTTGGGTCATTTCTCCCCCCTGCCCCACCCCTCCCTTACCACCCACTGCCCCCTCCATCTCCCCACCCCTCAATACCAGCAGAAAGTATTTTGCCCTTATCTCTAATTTTGTTGTAGAGAGAGTATAAGCAATAATAGGAAGGAACAAGGGTTTTTGCTGGTTGAGATAAGGATAGCTATACAGGGAGTTGACTCACATTAATTTCCTGTCCATGTGTGTTACCTTCTAGGTTAATTCTTTTTGATCTAACCTTTTCTCTAGTTCCTGGTCCCCTTTTCCTATTGGCCTCAGTTGCTTTTAAGGTATCTGCTTTAGTTTCTCTGCATTAAGGGCAACAAATGCTAGCTAATTTTTTAGGTGTCTTACCTATCCTCACCCCTCCCTTGTGTGCTCTCACTTTTATCATGTGATCAAAAACGTGTATCTGTATCTTAGGCCTCAGGTAGGCAGAGGTTGACAGAGACTCCAACATGTGGTATGTAGAATTGAATAATACCCTTTGTTTCAAGTGTTTACTTCTTTCTGATGTTTACCTGTGGACCAAAGAACTCCTGTGAAAGATTGCTTAAACCATGCCTGTAGTTGGGGTTCAGGTATGTCCTGTCCACACTGATAATTTGAGGGATCCTGACTGCAGACAGGTTTCAAGAAGATAGTTTGTCCCTTTGATGGAGAAGTCACTGAAGGGCAAAAGTAACTGATGTGGTGAGCCAGAGCCAGGAGAGGGCCTGGGCACCAGAGGGAAGTAGCAGAGAGATCCCAGAACACTTTGGGAGGACAAAGGGCAGGACATAGGCATTCTCTTCTTCCTATTGGCAGTGACTGGGGCCCCAAATGGTGAGGGTCAGGGCCTCAGTTATTGGGGTTGGAGAGAGGTGAAATCTAGTTCAGCTGAGGCAGTGCAGTGGCAGTGGTGGGGTTTTAAGGCACAGTGATGATGTAAAGCTGGCAGGAACACCAGCTCTCAGGCCTGGCAGAGGGTGCGTTAGCAGCTCTGGCTCTCATGGATACAGGGTGGAGGCCTGAGGAGACCTGAGCTATCTCATCTCCCAGGTAAGTCCCCCTCAGTGTCTCCCAGAAAGTCTTGAGGACAATTTCTTATGAGACTGTAATTGTTGACTGACTGGCTGGGGTACCATGCCAATGGGATTCGGGTCTTAATATGAATGGAACCCTTCTTGTACCTATTGGCTAGTTCAGGGTAGGAATCTCTGGGTTACTTTTGTTTCAATTTGTTACAACACAATTATCTGGTGTATTGTATTATCAATTCATTAATTTCATTTAATTGAAAATATTTTTTTCCAAACAGAGCTACAAAGTGCCATTAGATAGAGACTATCCACCTTTTTTGGCTAGATTATGATATGAGGGACTTTGAGGCTGGACAGAGCCATCATTAACTGTTCTCTGGATTTAGTCACGTTTTTAATGACACTGAGAACATAGGAAGAAAGAGAATCTTGAAACCTATGGGTTATAACTTTCCTGGGTGAGGTTCCTCTGATCAATCTTCACTTTAGAATGGCCATATGATTGAGGATTTCTGCTTCCTCCAGTGCTTTACTCACCATCGTCTTAGACCTAGGGGAAGCTGAAGAGTGTGTGATCAGAAGCGACATGTTTTCTAGAGCCATTCCTATGCCAGCTTCCTTCAAAAAGGTATTTGAGTATTTTTACATGTCATGTGAATGGAGTTTATGACTTTTGCCTCCAGGAGAAATCCCAAAATAGTTCCTTTCAGGGCAGGCACTGGGGGGCTGGGTACTAGGCAGGTCCCCATCCTTCCCTCGATGGGGTTTATGAGTGTCCTGAGCCATTGAAAACTGGGTTTGCCCATACAGAGATCACTTAGGGTAAAAAAATCTTGAGCTATGGATGGGCATTGGTCCTGCTGGTCCATGGATGTCTACATGGAGACAGTTGTTGGCTAGAGGGCCTCATCCATGGACAATGAGTGCAGTAGGAGTGGCTTAGCAGCACAGGTAACAAGTGCTGGCTGATTTTGGCTATTGGCTTTGTTCTCATGGGGTACCCTGATGCTGTCTACTGACACTGTCCACCTGGTGCAGGTGGGGTCAGCTCTTGGTGCTGCCTGTCATCATCATTGGCCATGCTAGTCCCAGAGGCTCTACTAGTTTTCCTCCTCATGCCATGACCATTGGGTGACTATACCAGTATTCTACTTTGAGGTTAGTCCAAATCTTCCTCCATTGTCTTTCAAACTATTTTTCAACTGTTTATTACAGAAATCCTCAAGCATACAGAAAAATGGAAAGAGCACAATCAAGATCCTTGTATTTACTTAGTCATCACAGAATAATTGCTAACATTTTGTCATATTTATTTTAATAGACCGTCTATACAAACCACTTCAAAGTACATTGTAAATTCTTCCCTTCTAAACACTTCAGTATTCCACATGAATTTCCTGTGAGTAGGGACATTGGCAATACCATTATCACACTGAAAAAAAATTAATAATAATTTACTTATACCTTCCAATTTTAAATTTTATATTTGGAATCTTGGAACTGTCCCCAATATGAGTTTTAAAATTGATTTGTTAGTGCCAGCATTTACTCAGAATTAATGCATCACATTTAGTTCTGGGTTTTAATCTCTTTTATTCTAAAGCTATCCCACTTTTTCTTTTTTATTATGCTGGCATCTGAGGACCCAGGCTAGTTAAATGCAGAATGTCTTACCTTCTAATTTGTCTCATTTTTTGGGGGGGGTTACTTAACTTTAAAAAAATAGCCCTTATTTTCTGTAAACTGGGAATTAATTTTAAAGGCGTGATTAGATTTGGTTAACAATATTGATATGATGCTTATTTAAAAAAAAAAGGGCAAACACAATGCTCTATTCCCTTAGGATATGCCATTTGAATTTCAACACCATATTCTCTCTTCTTTTCCTCTAAAAATCTTATTTGGCAAATTGCCTTTTTTTACTCAAAGCTATTACTACTGAACAATTTCACAAACCTATTTTGAGAGTCAAAATATGAGCATCTAGTCCTTGTCTTTGTATTCTAGCCATGACAATCATAATCTTCTTTGAGGCAGTGCACAACTCTCTCCAGGGAGAGATGGAGCATAAGGACAAGCAAAAATGAAAAGCACCTTGATAAACATTTTAAACATCGCAGCTGTACGTCTCTAAAGAACACCAGCTGTAGAGGAGGAAGCTTCTGAAAGAAGTAAGAGGAACACAGGACATGTCCCCAAGGTCTTGCTCCACCAAGTTCTAGGACACTTCAGAGAATACAGGTGTGTACATTCCTAGGTGAGTGTCACATGAAACACAGGACTCTGGTCCTTTCCCAACACAAGATCCCAAAGGATAAAGCTTCTTATGCATCTGGTTGCATTTATCCACTGTGCCACCATGCTTAACATTTTTTCCTTGACTTGGACCTTAGGGATTAGAAGGAATAATTATCTCACCACAAAATTCCTCTTGATTCTGACTGGAGTCTCATCTTACAGTAGTATCTCTCTTGTTGGGACTTTCTTAGTAGTCTCATGAATTCAGCTGGGAATGGACCAATGGTTTCCATTTCACAGGGGAAAAAATCAGTCTTGGATGTTTTCTTTTTTCAGTTCAACAAATGTTTTTTTGAACCTTATTGTACACCAGAAGGAGCTGGTTAGGCCCAGGGACTATGTAGGCTCAAGTTTGCTCAAGTTCACGTGTTGTTTATAGTGAAAAAGAAGAGATACACACAGATTTTTTTTTTTTTGGTTTAAAAAGGAAAACTCAGGGCCTCACACTTGCTAGTAAGTGCTTGACCACTTGAGCCATACCGCCAGCCCTTTTTTTGGCTTTAGTTATTTTTAGGTAAGGTCTCCATTTTTGCCTGAAGCTAGTCTCAGGCAGAAACCTCCTACTTACTGTCTTCCATATAGCTGGGATTGCAGGTGTGTGCTATCACACTCAGCTTATTGATTGAGATGGGTTCTTGCTAACTTTTTACCTGGGCTGGCCTCGAACAACAATCCTATTGAACTCTGCCTTCTGAGTAGATGGATTGAAAGTGTGCCTGATTACAAATATATATTTTTACTATAAAATGATAGAGCTGATTATTAGGTGTTAAGGGGTGGAAACAGCTCTAACTTCTGGAGAATATGAGGTCTGAGCTAAGTCTTGAAGGATGAATACAGACAGACAGAAGAGCCTTCTTGGCTTGTTCACTATGGAATTCTTAGCTTCTAGCACATGTTAGCATCTAACCCATGCCTAGTTCGTGGTAGACATTCAATATAGTGAATTTACAGAAGAAATCTCAGTAGAGTCTTCTGATCCATATCCATTGCGCCACTGGCCCACAGAAATCTCAGTATCGGAAACATTGCAAGCACAAAACAGACACAAGGAACTGAGTACTTCAGAATTACTGAAGATTAATCCTTGTAGAGTCATAGACTCCTTTGAAAAATTGATGGAAGCCCTGGTTCTTCTTCCTAGAAACATAAACACTCAAAATTTAACAGATGATTTTGGAGGGTATAGGCCCTCCTGAACCCTATACACATTAAGGATTTCTGTTGGAGAGAAATTGGAACACTGAAGTATTTAAAACGCTTTAATTTTATTTTATTCTAAAGTAGGGAAAGGATGTTCTTATGGTTACTTTAGATACCCTGTGAAGTACGGGCTGAAGGGACATAAACCTGGAGCAGGTGGCTCATTGAAAAGGTTGCTGAATTAGGGGAGAGGCAGTGGAGAAGGAGGTAGAAGGGTGAATACTGTGCAGAAAATGTGTACACATGTATGCAAATGCAAAAATGATACTTGTTGAAACTATTCCAGGAATGGGGCGAAGGGGGACAAAGGAGAGTGATGAAGGGGGTGAATTCAAGTATGATATATTTGATACATTTTAAGAATTTTTGACATATCCTTTTTTTTTTTGGGCGGTACTAGGGTTTGAACTCAAGGCCTCATGCTCGTTAGGTAGGTGCTCTTAGGTTTGAGCCACTCTGCCAGCCCAATTGTAAGAACGTTTGTAAATGCCACAATGTACCCCACCCAGCACAACAATAAAGGAAAAAAAAGGTTGCTAAATTAATTCTGTAGCAGATGATTTAGCTTGATTTAGGGGTGAGATTGAAGAATGGAGAAGAGTGGTGGGGTTAAGAATGCCTTAAGAGATAAAACTGAGCCAGGTGACGATGGCTCACACATGTAGTCCTAACTACTTGGGAGGCTGAGATAGCAAGGGTGGTGGTTCAAAGCCAGCCCAGACAAAAAGTTCATCTCAACCAATATCTGGGAGTAGTGGCATGTACCTATCATCCCAGCTAGGGAAGGAAGAATATTATAAAATAGGAGGATCATAGTACAGGCTGGCCTGGGCAAAAAGTGAGCAAAAAAGTGCTGGGGTATAACTCAAACAGTAGAGTACCTACCTAGCAAGTGAGAAGCTCTGAGTTCAAACTCCAGTACTGCCAAAAAAAGAAAAAACAAGAAAAGAAAAGGTATAACTGGCAACTGTTGGTGTTGCCTAGATTTGAGAGTAAGGAATAGGAATTAAGTCTGATCTCACGTTTGGGGATGACAGGGAGGATGGTGGCACTATTTATTGAGACGGGAAAATAGATTTGGGTTAGGAATGGGTGGTAGAGAGTCTAGAGGTGGGAGATGTGAGGAGTTCAGGTTTGACTGTGTTGTAGTCACACAAGGTGACCAGGTAGTGAGAAATCAGAGTGAAGTGGAGGAGTAACAGGGAAGTGCTGCAAAACTTAGACGAGCAAAGGATTATGGGAGAGTGAAGCAAAAGTATGTGTTTTAGAAGCATAATTGGGCAGTGAGGAGGACCAATAACAATTTCCAAGACTGAGGAGTGTGGAGATAAGGAGATAGTTCCTCTAACAGCCTGTGGGGCAGGCAGTGTCTTTAGGAGCTGCCAATGGCTTAGAGCAATAGGATTTTATTGTCTCACAGGTCTGGGGGCTTGAGGTAAGAAATCAAGGTGTCTTCAGTGTCACCTGCAACATGGAGGGAATCCTCTGTGCCATTTCCTAGTTTCTGGTGACTCGGCAATCTTTGGTGTTCCTTGGTTTCTACATGCATTACTCCAGTCTTTGCTTTGTCATTACATGCATTTTCCTTTTGTGTCTGTAAATCCATATGCTTTTCTGATCAGACCAGTCATATGGGATTAGAGCACTGTGCTGTTCCAGTATGAGCTCATCTTAACCACTTACACCTGCAAAGAAGTAAGACCACAAATAAGTTAAGTTCAACCTCATATTTTGAGGTACTGAGGTACTAGGGTTAGAACTTCAACATGTTCTTTGTTTTCGGTGGTACTGGAGCTTGAATTCATGACCTCACACTTGTTAGGCAGGTGCTCTATCACTTGAGCCATGCCTCCAGCCCTTTATGCTTTAGTTGTTATTATTTTTTTAAGATAGGGTCTTGTGTTTTTGTCTAGTGCCAGCCTCAGAGTGCGATCCTCCTACCCACACCTTCTGCGTAGCTGGGCTGCACCACCATACCCAGCTCATTTGTTGAGATAGCTTCTCACTAACTTTTTGCCCAAATTGGCTTAAAACTGTGATCCTCCCAATCTCCATCTTTTGAGTAGCTGGACTTGTACACAGGAACCACCACTCTTTTTTAGAGGACAAATTCCACCCATAACAGGGAAGACACATTTTTGAGCTCAAGGAGAAAACAGAGGAACCTTCTGTAGAGGAACGTTCTGGGAATTTTGTTGGCCCAGGTTCCAAAATGTCCAGATGAAATAGTTGAGTGTGGTGGTAGTGGGTGGTGGTGGTTCTGGTCAGACGAGAGGGAAGAGGAAGAGCTAACTGATGTTCTGGGTGATAAGATTGATAGAAACATGAGGCGTGAGGAACCAAATGAAGCTCTAGTTTGAGGATAGCAATGATGAACTTGGCCTGGTGGCAAAAACACACTCTACACCAAAGGAACACCAAATGGAATATCTGTGGTTGCTTTGCCTGGTCATTATCTCTTATTGATTAACCTTTAGCAGGTTTTCAGAGTGTTTTGTACTGTGGTTGAGTTTTCCTAAAAGTTGTCCTTGTCACTATTTTTGTTCTTTTAATTATTTTCCTCTTGCTGCTTCTGACAATGGGGAGCAAATATAGTTTAAGAGGCACTTCTGTGATCATAGCTTCTTTATTTCTTTGGGATTTTGAAGGATTCTTCTATTCCCAAAGAACCCAAAAGTAAATTCAATGAATAACCTTTTTATTGTTTGAGAAAACCTTCTCTATTTACTCCTTTTTATTATCCTTATGAATTCCAGAATGATAGTGTGCAAGGAAAAATATGTTAAGTCAAAAGGCTGTTACCATATTGTAAAAACATCCTAAGTATGGGCCCTGTATTGTTTGCTTTTCTAGAAAATTCTATTCCCTTGTGAACAACAAGGAGAGCTAAGGCTCTGGCTATTGATCTGCCCTTTACTTGCCTGTGCTCTTTTGTTGAAAAATTTCTGAATTATAGCTCTAGATGCTTTATATCCTATTTGATCAATTTTCATGAAAGATTATATAAATATCTCTGATATAGTTTCATAAAAAGAATCCCCTACCCAGGTTTACAGATTTAAATACCAGTACAGGAAGACGTGTTCATTAAATGATGTTTGGTGGAAAAAGAGAGCCTGGTTAGCATCCCATAATACTAGTGCAGAGTATGGTGATGAATGGAGTGGCACTGATTTAGAGTTAAGATCTTTTATTCTTTCATGCCCAATGACCTAACTTCTTTCTGCTAGGCCCCACCTCTTAAAGGTTCCATCACCTCCCAATAGTGCCACAGGCTGACAAGCAAGCCTTTAGCAAATGAGTCTTTAGGAAACATTACAGATCCAAATTATAGCATTCATAAAAACTATAAACAATGAAGTCGGATAGCTTCCAGGTTGGTGAACACATCCATTCCACGGGAACAGAAACTCTTGCACTCAGATCCTTCTGGATGTTGTCCCATGTATCTCCTCATCTGGCTATTCCTTTGGGTCTTTTATGATATCATTTATATTAGCCAATAAACACGATTTCCTGCACTTTATGAACTCATATAGCAAATTACTGAACCTGATGAGGGGATCGTGGCCAAGCCAGACTGAAATGTGGATCATCTGGGGATCCACTACTAATACCTCCTGATTTGTAGCCAAGGCAGGTGGAAGTGTGGATAACCTGGGAACCACTTCTTGCAAGTAACATTTGAAGTGGGAGCAATCTTGTGAGATTAGCCCTTCCTCTGTAGGGTATTCACTAAC